TAATTTTACCAAAAAAACGTATTCCGAACATGCGGTTTAAGTAAAACGTATTTCCCCCATACGTTTACGTGTAAAAAACGTATTTTTCACATACGTTTTTTTATATGTTAATTAAGATTAATTATCTTAATTACGTTTTCTTAGTAAAACGTATTCGCCGAATGCGTTTATATATTGTAAACGTATTCTAGTAATACGTTTTAATTTAGAAACCGTATTCCCGGAATACGTGTGTTTGATTTTTTTCCACCAATTTTTTTTTTTTTTTTTTTTTTTTTTTTTTTTTTTTTTTTTTTTTTTTAAATAAATAATTAATTCAGAAAAAAACAGTACAATAACAAATTTTTTTTAGTTGTTGGGAAGTGTGATGTAAATAAAAAATGAATTCATATAAAAAAGGAAAATAAAATAATTAAAAAATTAAGTTAAAAAAAAACGTTGAACGTGTTCAATGGGCTGAACGCAATTGAGGGCCCCACAGATTAATGAACGGCCACATCCCTTTTGAACACACAAGTGGCGTTTAAACGTGTTCAATGGGCTGAACGCAATTGAGGGCTCCACCGATTAGTGAATTGTCACATCCCTTTTGCACACAAATGGCGTTTAAACGCCCAAATGAACACACACGTTGCGGATGCTCTTATCATCCTTATCCCACAAAAAGATAAAAATACGTAAATTGACCAATTTGAGCATAATTTTTGGCAAAATTACACAAAATAACATTGTTATATTTGCTGGGTAACACAACACTGAAAATTTTAAGTTCAGAACTAACAAAGAGTAGTGTCATTAAAAAAACAATGGCAATTACTATAACGTCTCATAAATGCTCCCTTCAGACATATGTAACCTCTCAGTCGCGAAAAAGAAAACCACTTGAAAGTTGAAAGTGTCTTATCCAGGTAGGCCAACTAGCTCTTTTATTATCTCCAAGACACTGCTCAACAATACTACAATGAAACCCAACCCACTGAGGTCCAACCAAAAAAAAAAAAAAATTTAAATCACACTGATATATCCCAAAAAACAAAAACCCAACAAGACAAACACAATGTCTGCACAAATCTACAGATTTTACACACATTAGCAGAAGATCATGAGGCAAGAACAGAAAGCCCCGACACAATACATCGAAAAAACTCAGGCTGCCATAACCGATCTCTTGTGCGCCATGACAGCCTCCCGAAGCTCGCAATACTCCATGCGGTAATGCTCGAGCGAGAAGCAAAGCTGCCTGATGGCCTCTCGTTTTCCTTCAGCCCCTTCAAGTAAAGCTTCTTCCTTTCTCCCGACCTCCCTCTCGAGCTCCTCGACCCTCGACCGCAACTCCTCGGCCGACCTACGCGCCACGTCAGCATCCCCAATCAGCTCAGCATGCTGCGAGTGCAGATGATCCAGGTGCTCCCTCATCTCACCAACCCGAGCATCCAGCTCGTTTTTCACAGCCATTAGCTTCTCGTATTTCGACTCTAATTCTTCACGGAGCTCATCCCGCTCGGCAATCTCGGCCTTCAATCGTTCGATCTGAATTCCAAGCACGGCCTCTGTCTCGGCTTTTGCAGCCTTGGCCCGTCTCACATCCTCCTCCAACAGCTGGCACCGTAGATCGAATTCCTTCAGATTATCCTCGAGATATGCCCGTTCTTTCGTGATTTTAGTTATTTCCGATTTGAGCCGCTCGTTTTCTTCAGACAGGGTCTTGTTCGCGTTGGATATCGCCTCCTGAAGCCCCCTGATTTCCTGATCCCGTTCGGACAGGTTGTTCTTGTACCTCGTCATCCGATCCTGCAGCTTCGTAACCTCGCGCTTTTCCCTCTCGAGCTTGTTTTTCCAGACGGGAATCTCTTTTTGGACCGATTTCAGCTGCTCCTGCAAGCCCTGCATGGCTAAGCTCTTGCTCGTGAGTTCTTTTCTCAAATTCGACACTTCCTCTTCAAGCTCACGGAACTTTCCCTCTCCTGATTCCGGAACATTGGAACCTTCTCGAACCTCAAAGACAGCGTTTTGCATCGATTCTTGGACAAATTCCGAGTTTTTCTCGAGAGATTTATATTTCTGAAGCTCAGCCGTCAGCCGCGCGACTTCCTCCTCCGATTTTCGGATATTCTCCCTCGAAAGCCTCAGCTCATCCTCGTAAGCCTGTAATTTTGAAGAAAAATCGGAACTCCCATAACTATCTTCCTTCTGCAGCCGAGGAAGTTTCCCCTGAAGCTCACCCTCAGGCTGCTCCTCCTGTGGGCCAGCGTAGTTATTGGTGGAGGATGAGTCATCGTCAGATTCCGACTCGGAGTCGAGAGTCGATGACTCTTCATCGCCCTCCTTGCTGCTCCGGTCACTGCCGAGGAAGACATCAAAACCGGCAGCTCGTGGGCCCGACTTGGTGCGGGCAGGCCGACGGTCGGGGGATGGCTCGGCTGTGACATCAGATGCTGTCGAGCCCTGGGAACGAAGGTCGGAGGGAACGTTCCGCCGGAGCTCGCCCGTGACATTGTCGTACCGCTCGGCGAGTGAGCGGTACATGCGGTAGAAGTCCTCGACTAGCGTTATGAGCTCGGGCCGTTTTTTAAAGTAAAGCTCGGCCTTTTTCGCGAAGGAATCGGCGTCCTCTTCTATGAGCTTTAGCATCCTCTTCACGAGCTGATCCATTTCTGAGATTATGAAAAAAAAAAGAAAGAAAGGACGAAATGAATTTCAGTTACCTTTATGCTTGATTAGAGTAGTTACGTAAAAAAAAGTTTCGACAAGAATCTACAATATGGAAGCATTTCATATCTGAAATTTGACAATATAGGACACGCTTCGTATATGTTGCAGAAATCTGAGAAGAATTTAACATAAACCATGGCTTTTGTATAGAAAAACGGAATAATTTTGGAATGGTGAAGGCAACGGCTGAGAGTTAGCAAGCTGATAAACAAGCTACACTTGCTAAATGCTACCCTTTTTC